AAATTCTGGTGCATGATGGTTTTTGATCAATTATGCTAGACCCTTCCATTTCGCGGCTCTCTCTTATCGTCATTTGCGTATTCCAGTTGTTGAGGGATGTGGGTTGCACCCGTTGCACTTTTTGAATACAAATCTTTCATTTCGGTAGATGGTATAATTCAGCATAGAATATATTGCGGACACATCATCGGAGATAATTCGTCTCCACCATAAACCTATGAGAGTACACCACATGTGTAGCATAAACATAACCGCAGATACAAGAATGGATATTCTTCCACATGATGGTAAGAGAATACGAATACATAAAGATAACATTAAACATTACAACGTCAAACGCGCGTTAGCATGAATCCTGGAGGCCTCAGAGGAACCTCTGGCCCATCCCACTAATCATTTATCGGACCCGCACCTCGCAACACTCTACTGAGAAAATCTCTTCCACAAGCAACACAGGTCTCTTGTGAGATAACGCGCGACGCTCCGCTTCTCCGCGCATTTCTGCGCAGCGAGGATAGGCGGCTCAATCTGACACTTCCGTGTCAGTCTCGAAGAAGCGGGCGAGGAAGACACCATATATTCAACGTCGGCCCATTTCCGGTTCCGCTGATAGACGCCTCGGCTCTAGTTTGCGAACCATTCAAAGGCTACCCCTTAGGCGTACCAATGAACAGTCGAGTGAGAAATGGCCGTCCGTTCCTGGTGAGAACTGGTCTGCGCCATGAAGTAGTATATGCTGCTGTGAGGGCGACCCCATTCCACGTCAAGCTGTACCAAGCTGATGGGCTTGAACTTCCCTTGGTACTGGACCTATGTCATTCGAGTAGGGTAGGACGTACCCACCCCCCCGAGCTTGTTCATATTTTGTGAAGCTTTATTGCGTTTCAACTGGTCCTGGAAGCTCGTCGAATCTTTGCACGGGTCTATCCGTGGCCTGGCGACGTTCCTCCATCGAAGTGTTCTGTGGAGAGTAGTCGGACTGCTCGATCTCATCTCCGCCTCACGCGACGTGAGGCAGGCTACCAGCTCCTTGTCCCCGTCGTGTTGCGGTATATGACTTGTCCTCTTCTCTTCTTTTTCTGTTTTAGCAGTTTTCCATCATTTCTCTTAGAGAGTCCGATGGTCGACCTGCCTGTTCCTCCCAGCTTTTGGGCCCGTCGTCTGCTCGGTACTCTGTCCGGTCATGGTCCCGTTGGCCTGCCGTCTTGACTTGAGCGCTGAGGTACTGCGATGTGGCCGCTGCTGAATGAACCTCGTCTTCGCCGCAGGAGGAGGTACTAGGGTGGAATAGTCCATAACCCAAACTTACTCCCCTGCGGACTAACGGGTTCGCTGAATAATTGTCCTTCCCTGGCGGCGTCGAGCGAACCGGGATGTTATGGTCCTTAATGAGAGTCCGTAGTCTGCGAGTCCGGAGAGTACCGCCTCCCTTATCCGTCCCATGTTGAATGTGGCCGATGAGAGCTTCCTAGGTCGTAGCAGCGCGCTTTTACTGGTGACGTGCGCCTTCGTACCGGGAGGGGGGGCCTTGGTCCGAGAGGACTGTTGAGAAAGCCGTCTTCCAACCACACGAAGGTTTCCAGCCGTTCCACACGCATTGGCAGTGCGGACGAGCGACGCGTGGGATGAGTCTCTCGCAAATGACACTGAGGATTCACCTCCATTGATAGTGCGTTTGTGAGCAAGAAATTCTCCTGAGATCTTCTAACGCGGTTGGTGCCACACCCGGTGCCTCAGCAAGAGTCGCTCTGGTGACGACCCGAGAGATTTTGGCGGCTCTCCCTGGTGCGGCTTTGGTAGAATGCTTTGGTGCGGGAGTCGGCGACTTTCGCCCTTGCTGGCGAGGTCTTCGCGTTTGAGCGAGCTCCAGTCACGTCAGGCGGGTTTCAACCCCTTATTTGGAAGAGCGGGTTCGGCTGAAGTGATCGCCTAACTTCTCTACCTTTACGCTTATCCGCAAATGATTAGGCGAGGCTCGCCAGCGCTTCCCGAGGATTTGGCCTACTCAGGTAGGCTCGTACACTCCCGTGGGTTTATTCGCATGCAGGATAGACCTGAAATGCGAAGTCCTCCTGGAGCGGGAATGTCCTGCTGCCGTCCCTCAGTTGGCGCCCCCTCTGATTTGGAAGGGCTCCGACGTCGGGCAGCTTTGCCTTTCCCGTCCTAGTGTCTCGGGCCTGTATGATGGTTCAGGCCGTCGTGAGAAATGGAGGTTTGGACCTCCTGTCCGAACGGCCCGTTTGCCGTCGCCTGTGGTAGTTCTCCAGCCGCGCGGGGAGACGCCACCCGCGGGCGCGTGGGGCCGTTGCCACAGTGTCACCGTGCAACGCGCGCCGCACGGCAGGTGTCTCGCGCGGACCTTGGCGATCCACTGGCAGACCCTTGCCTCTTGTGCTCGATCTCTGGCTTGGCCTTGATCGATCGCGAGGGAGTGGGCTCCTCTGATGAGACTCGGGTGGAACCCTCAGGTGCGGAGGCTTTGACCGTCTGAGGTCGGCCTCGGCGCACAGCTCTGTGGCGTTTGCGGGACGCATCGGCACCAGAGGAGGAGGAGGATAAGTACTCTTCGTACTTAGTCTGGTCGAACTCGATTTCTAGGGACTCCACTGTCGTCCCGACAGCAACCTCATCAAACTGAGCCACCACCATTTCACTCGATGAAACAGCTTCTCCCACTGTGGTCGCCATCTTCTGTAGGGTGAATATTTGATTTCCCAAAAAAGGGAGTTTCGTTTGTATTTATAAGAAAGCTTATTACAAACTAATAATCAAATGATTACAACAGAAGCAGAGGGAATGCCCTCTTTGTTTTTGTGTGGGGACTTTAGGTGGCTACAGGATGCTTCGCTCGATGCTCGTGTCGAGTCTGCTTCCCTTGGACCGTTCGATCGAGGTTGCTGGAGAGCTTCAGTTCGCAGTAGAAGCTCAACTCGAGGGAGTTCGGGTTTGCTTAGTTCGCCGACGATCGGAGCTCGGAACTAAACAGTGATGCTGCAATGCAAAGATTATGCAGAGAGCTTGGTCTCAACTCTTTTCTCTAAGTTTGCGACCTCTCCTCCAGTGTGCTGGAGGGGGCTTTTAAATGAAAGAGGGACAGCTTGACTCCTCCTTGAATTGTGGGATGTGACCACATCTTCTTCAGAGACGTCTAGCTTGACTCCTCCTTGAATTGTGGGATGTGCTTTATGTCCTGTCACCTACGATGGGAAGGCCCATTCTTGTATATGAGGCAACGGCCGTCTGCTATCCGAGTGGACCTGACCAGCATTAATGAATCGCATTTATGAGTTCGCAGATCGATAAAGTGTCTGTCCGATCACTCGTACTGTGCGTGACTGCCCGGCGTGCTTTGAGCACGGTGCTTTCTCCTTTCCGGTCAGGAGAGGCGGCGAAGTAGGTGCACAGTACTCGAGTGGGTCTAGCCAATTCTAAATCCATGACATAACATACCATGTTAAATAACAAAGTGTTGAACAGAACTATTGGGGAGGTAATATTTGCTATCATGACAAAGTTTCAGAGTGAAACATTGGCGCTCGTCAAATCATAGAGCTACCAACAACTTGGCCTTGCCCGTTCATAAAAAATATCCAGTGAATCCAGTTCATTTAGAGAACTCTTGCATTACCAGAAGGTTGGTTGCCATTAAAAACAAGTAAGGAAAAGAGAACTTTTCTCCCATCTACTGACAGTTTTTTAATTTAACAAGATACATTCCTCATACTCAGGTGGAAGAAATTTTGCTCCTAGAACCACTATATGTTCATGTAGAGAACTCCATATTCTTTCACATACTCTCTTTTTAGCACCAACAAAAGATAGCTAAGCCAAGCCTTAAGCCCCGAGCATAGATTTTATAATTTTATATATCAGAACAAGATTCCTTTCAATAAGAGGACTTTAACAAAACAAGTAAGCTTTATGCATTTAATTGTGTATTTTGAAATTTAGTTAGGTCAGACTACGCACAACTGATTTAGAACTAGAAATCAGAAAGCAAATAAAACTAAAGAGCAAAATGCTTTCTTACCTACACAGTGAGATCTAGAACCAACATCCGGTGATCAAAAGAAAAGTGGAGGCTGGCTCTGATAGCAAGGACATTCAAACTAGATTCACCTGCATAAATCGTGATCAAAAGAAAAGTGGAGGCTGGCTCTGATAGCAAGGACATTCAAACTAGATTCACCTGCATAAATCAAACAGATTCGAGATAATCTGGGAGGCTCTGATAGCAAGGACATTCAAACTAGATTCACCTGCATAAATCAAACAGATTCGAGATAATCTGGGAGGTGCAAAAATGATTGAATTGAAGACAAATTGCACAAAAACAGATTGAATTGAAGAACCAATAACTACAAATGAAGACATACAACTCAGTGAGATCTCTCACGCTAAGATACAAACTAAAACAAAGTACCCTCATTTTGTATTCCAACAAGCAATTCAGTCTCCTCTCCTGTTGGAACAGCTGCAGTATAGAAGACAGTTATAAGTAATTCACAGCTGCCTAAAAAAAACAGGAGAGCAGGGGAAATGCGTGCATACATCTTTTGGGGTTTTGGGGGAAAACACATATAGTATCTACTCAAAAAGCTGAAGTAAGAGAAATGTACCAAGTACCCTACACCCTTACCATGACACAAAGCATACTTGAAAAAGGCAACAAGTCTTTTGGATATACATCAAATTTTAGTAGTTGTCCAATCTAATAGATTAAACTCATAAATATGAACATAAGCAGCAGTTTTTATAAGACATTTAAGTGGTTATTCACCATTCATAATAATAATTATAATAATCCCTAATAAAACCTCTCAATTTTGATCAAAGTTCCATCTTTTTATCATACCATACTAAAAAAATCCCTAAAGAAGTCAAAATAACCTGGAACAGCGAGCTGAAGCTCCCCAAACTGTCCACTCGACGGGCGCGGGTTCAGGTTTGAGGGAGGAAGCGAGTACAGATCCGGAATGGGACGCTTGGGTGGTTAGGGTTAGCCGCGGAGGCTGAGGCGCGCTTGGAGTTCTTGCGGGACCCACCGTCGATGGGATGTTGCGGAGAGACCCGCCTTTGGTGGAGGCCGTGGAGGACTTGAAGGCGAGGGAATGGAGGGCGCGGCCGATGGGGAGAGGGGAGAACTTGAGGGCGGAGGAGAGGATGTGGGAGTTCGAGAAGGGGCCCGGTGAGGAGGAGAGGAGGCAGGAGAGGTGGTGGAGGCCGTGGAGGGAGAGGGAGTAGAGGGAGTAGAGGGTGAGGGGTAAGGTTGAGGAGGGAGAGAGAAAGAGGAGGGGGAGGCGATGGAGGGAGGAGTAGGATCTGTGAACGAAATTTTGGGAATGAAATTTGGGAAGACAGATTTTGAGAATTTAGGCGGTGAAATGAAATTTGGGGGGGAAAGTCGCACCGTTGTGGGACAAAACATCCTAGACGGAAAATTTCCGTCTGGAATGTATTCTAGACGGAATTTTCCGTCTAGGATGCTTTTTCCGTCTAGCATACATCCTAGACGGAAATTTTCCGTCTAGGATGCTTTTTTCTGGACGGAATATTGTAGACGGAAATTTTCCGTCTAGTTTAATGCAAACTAGACGGAAAAAAATCCGTCTAGGATATTCCGTCTAGGATATAGAATTTTCTACTAGTGCTGGTGACTTTATTCTCCTACATCATTAACTCTATTTGTTGTGCTTGACTATATCGTTTAACTACAGCCCTATGCAATAGCTCTACTTATTCTCCTACATCATTAACTATATGAGTTATTCCCTTACATCATTTGTTGCTAGCCGTTGGTTGTGCTGGTGACCTTGACTGAGCTAAGAGTTGTAGGAGACCATGTATTGGGAAAGCTTATGTTTTAGTTTCAGTTTCATCTTTTGTTGTGGGCTTGCTTGGAGGGTTTGAAACTGATTTGGGGCCTGAAACAAACCATACTTTTGTACACAGTCTCATATACAGGTTTTGTTTAATTTTGAGCCACAACCATACTTTTGTACACAGTCTCATAAACATGTTTTGTTTAATTTTTTTGTTAAAGGGGCCTGTAACAAATTTCTGACTCACATATACAGTTTGCTTGTTGACTTGTTCTTGATGGCTTGTGCTTTAAACTTGGTGGCTTGTGCTTGAGCATTTGTTGCTGGAGTTCTGTGTTTTTGCCGCTTGTGGTTTGGGTTGCTGGGTTTGTTGCTTTTGATTTGGCTACATTACCTCCTTATTCTTCTACATCATTATTCTATAATGCCTTGTATGCTTGCTGGGCGTGGTTGTCGCTGGTGACTTTGACTGAGCTAACATGTATATGAGACTCCGCTTTGGGTCAGCTTATTTTTCAATTTCAGTTTCATCTTATAGAGTTTTTGCTGGTGACTTTGGGTCAGCTTATTTTTCAGTTCCAGTTTCATCTTATAGAGTTGTGGGCTTGCTTGAAGGGTAAATACAAGTGTATTTGTTTCAATGGTTGTTTTCAATGGCTACTTTGTATTCTTCTAAGTGGGCAATGATGATGGTCTTAGTTAAGAGAGTGCAATCTACAATGTTTTGCTATGTTTAGGTAGGGCAATCTAGGATGAGAATGCAACCTACATTGCATTTACAATGTTAGGTAAGGCAATCCATTCATGTGATTGCAACCTACATTGCATTTACAATGTTCGGTGAGGCAATCCATTCATTTGATTGCAACCTACATTGCAACACCATTGTTAGATGAGGCAATCCATGTATTCAATTTTAATACCTATATCTGAGCCCTTAACGTGGTCCTATTATGAGATTTCATGCTGGTGGTCTGGGTTGCTGGGTTTGTTGCTTTAGATTTGGCTATATTACCTCTTTATTCTTCTACATCATTATTCTATGAGCCTTGGTATTCATAATCTTGTGGTTGCTGGTGGCTTTATTCTCCTACATCATTAAATCTATTTGTTGTGCTTGACTATATCGTTTAATTAGTTTTCTAAGAATTATCCTGAGTATTGAAACAGCCCTATCCATTTGTTGTGTTTGACACTATTTGTTGTGCTTGTTGTTTTCAATGCTTGTTTTTGAGCTAATGAGAGAGAACTCTCCCATCAAATTGTTTTATTGACAGTTCATGACAATAATTCCTTTATTTGTGGTTTCTCAAGACTAATTTTGTACACAGGTAAGTCTTTTCCCTAGATATTTGTGGTTTGGTTACTTCAAATTTATTGGTAATCTCATTCATGCACAATATTTGTTCTATGTACTTTATTCCTTTGTTTTTCTTTATGCAGAAAAGCTTGAACCATACTAGCAAGTTATGGGGATCCAAACGTTGAGTGTATATTTTGTTTCAACTACTCTGATTTGGGGAAACTGATTTGGGGCCTGAAACAAACCATAATTTTGTACACAGTCTCATATACAGGTTTTGTTTAATTTTGAGCCACAACCATACTTTTGTACACAGTCTCATATACAGATTTTGTTTAATTTTTTGTTAAAGGGGCCTGAAACAAATTTCTGACTCTCATATACAGTTTGCTTGTTGACTTGTTCTTGATGGCTTGTGCTTTAAACTTGGTGGCTTGTGCTTGAGCATTTGTTGCTGGAGTTCTGTGTTTTTGCCGCTTGTGGTCTGGGTTGCTGGGTTTGTTGCTTTTGATTTGGCTACATTACCTCCTTATTCTTCTACATCACTATTCTACAATGCCTTGTATGCTTGCTGGACGTGGTTGTGCTGATGACTTTGACTGAGCTAACATGTATATGAGACTCCGCTTTGGGTCAGCTTATGTTTCTGTTTCAGTTTCATCTTTTGTTGTGGGCTTGCATGAAGAGTAAATACAAAAGTTTTTGTTTTTTATGGGGGGTAAGCTCACAAAAAATTCTTAAATTCACCAATCATTATTTTGGTGATCCTAAATTTTGTTTGCTACAATTTGGGATTTCAAATTATAAAATTTGTAATGCTATAATTTAAGTTTGTAACAAACAAAACATTCTAAGTTTTGGTATTTCATATCCTAAAATTTTGTTGAAACAAACAACATTTTAGAGATCCCAAAACCCACCAAAAAATTTATGCATTTCAAATTCTATGTTGAAATCCATATCTTGAAATTTTGGGATTTGAAACAAACACCCCCTAAGAGTTCAGCATCTTGTGTGATCATACCCATTGAATGACAAAGCATCCTGATGTATTAGGATGATTCCCTATTATTGGATTATTAAGTCTTTTCACACTTTAATGAACCAACATATATCGACATGGACTGATTGAATTCTTTTATAGGAGGGGACCTCAAAGTTGTGACTTTGGGACATGTACTACTTCGTCTGCAGTATTCATGCCTGGTAGATCTCGCAACTGAATTGAGATAATATTCACTGAAACTTGCTTCTGATTTTCTCTCAACTACAGAGATTCGAACTCGTGCAAAATTTAGATATTTTCTCTCAACAAGATGCAACCTTTCAAAGGATGTCCTACAAAGCAATGAAAGACACAATGTTCTTGCTCGAGTCTTGTGTCACCAAATCCTTTTGCTTTGTGTTCTCTCCTTCCTTGGGGGATAACATATTGACCTCGAGTTTCCACGAACACTGTGAAGCCATTGTACTATTCGAGGCACAAGACTAGTGTTTGTCTCCGAGAGCTTCTTCATATATCGGGTTCCTTACACGAAGAGCTCCAGCCCACAATGATGGTTTGTTTTCCTTTGAGCGAGTCTTGTACATGGGTCCCCGAAAGTGTACCGAAAACGTATCCAAATCCTCATCTTGATGCCCACCTTTCGAGGGATTAGTTTTGTGTTGTCATCTGTCATGTAGGGATGGACAAACTCAGGTTATTTTTATTAATGATTTTGGAGGCACGTAACCTGCGATATCTCCTTCTCCTGAGTTGGGTCCAAGCGAGACTCTCGGATAATCACTTGAAAAGTTGAAATCAGGGCTCTCGAGGACTAAATTTTCACTAATTGGGGTGCGTAAGACTCAATCGGACACTTACTGTCAGAGGATATAGTGTAACGTTGGACATGTCTGACAGTTATGACATGACAAGGGCAGTGTTAGGTATAACAATCATCGCATCCTTGGTGATTGGAGCCGGACTGGTACCTTCCAACCTGTTAGGAGGAGAGCGTTGATGCTTCGTCCTCAAGTAGCTCCAATCCAGGCTCTTCACCCCTTTTGGGGTAGGCTATCTTCCTGTTCTTGATCTTAACCACACATGGATTTTGAATCTAGATGGTGCGGGGGTCACGTTAGTTTGTTTATTCATTTTAGCCCTTGACAGCTCCTCCTTCTCGCATGTTGTGAAGTTATGACGTGCAATTCTTCATATTGAAGCTCTAACGGATTGTTCACAAAAACCAGTTGTCTTCACAAGACTTCAAAATATCTGATGCCTTGGTTTTAACGACAACATGAGCAGAACCTACCTTCGGCTCATCTTGACATTTGTTCCATATCTGTAAGATGATCGGAGCTATAGCCTATAGGTACCAATTATATCGGTAGATAAGATATATGTACATAAATGTACTCCATAAATAGAGAGTACAACCACAAAGTTTGGAAGATAAAATAGAACAGATGAAAAAGATAAACTCCGAGAAAACACTCGTAAATCATCATCACCTAGTATTGGATCTCGCTAGAAGCAGGGGTTGCGTGCACATGGTGTAGAAGTGTGGTCCACAATTGATGTGCAAACTAGGACGGCTAAAAGCCATCTAGCAAGGGGGGAAATGAAGGAGGTGGTATGTGCACATGTAACAGGTATCAAGGGTGCATGATTGGTGTAATCTCAAGAAAGACTATAATATATAATAGCTTAGATTACTCATGATTAGGAAAATATGCATCCTAGAAGCTAACATTAAACCTAATACGACAAGCAAACAAGAAGTGACAACTATATATATAGGGTTGTCCAAAAAGCCCGCCGGCCCGGTCCCGGCCCGGGCTTAGCTCGGAAACCCGGGTCAGACCCGGGTCCAGGTCCGGTTGTCGGCCCCCGGCCCGGAATAGTATTTTTTTTATTTTTTTAGTTTTTTATTTTCTTATATGTATAATATATATATATATATATATATATATACTCTCTCTCCTAGTATATATGTATATATAAGTATACTCTCTCTTATATATGTATACTCCCTCTTACTCTCCAAACTCCTAAATTTTACAACTAGACTAAGTAGCCCAAATTATTCATGTCATTCAATATATGTATATGTGTGTGTATATATATACATATACATATATTGAATGACATGAATAATTTGGGCTACTTAGTCTAGTTGTAAAATTTAGGAGTTTGGAGAATAGGTTAGTGGTTCAAATCCTAGCCATAACATATATATTTAGAGGTCTTTGATTTGGCCTTGGGTCTTGGGCTCTTTAAATTCTACAATTATATTTAATTTTGTTTGTTTCTACAAATTCTACAATTATTTTACATTATTTAATTTCTATAATTTTTATATTTATAAATTACATAATTACATTTGATTAATAATATAATTTTTTATCAAAATTATGTTTAATTTTTGCATTATATTCTTCAAAAATTTAAAAAATTTAATTAATAAAAAAACCGAACCGGCCCGGAGCCCAGCTTGCTTGGGC